CTCTCTCTCTCTCTCTCTCTCTCTCTCTCTCTCTCTCTCTCTCTCTCTCTCTCTCTCTCTCTCTTGTCTCTTTTTTATCTATATTTATCTGTGAGTACACAAAAGCATGCGCATGTGTATGTGAGTGAGTAGGTACCCCTGTCTATCTATTATCTCTCACACATCCCCACTCTACAGCAAGCTCTATGTACATTTCAATAGGTCATTTTTAAGGACAAGCGGGCTAATCCAGATTTCAGGGTTGTCCAGAAATCTTGACCTACACCAAAAGTGGGCATTGCCCTGCCTATAGGAGAAGTTTGGTTCCATTGGTGTGTATATTTGTTTGGTTATAGAAAAAGCTCTCCTTGCCTTTTAAAGAAACTGAACAGCATTTTCCGAGATAGCCCCCTTGTGCTTAAAAGCGACCAGTTATTATTATTACAACAGCAGACCCTAGAACATTCAGGAACATTCTGAGCTTCCCGGGAAGCATACAGTGCAAGCTACAGATTACACGTTCTCAAACACAAACAAACTGACCAGGTCTTTCGCTGTCTATGGCCGGGTACCCAGTAGGGAACGGTGGCGGAGCGGTTAGTGCGCTCGTCTCCGAAGCGGAAAGTCCGAGTTCGATCCTCGGTTCGGACACAGATTTTTTTTTTGCCCCCTCCTGCCCACCCAGCAGTAATGGGTACCTGACTTGGAGTTGGGGAAGTAAAGGCGGCGTGGAAAGGAACTGGCCACCCTACCACAATATGCCGAAGGCCCAGGAAGTTGTCTCACTAACAAGGTAATCCCCAATGTACGGATCGGATATGTGAGAACAACTTTACTTTTTTTACCCATCCCCACCTGGATGAAGTGAGGAAATTTCGTATAAAGTGTCTTCCCCAAGGACACAAAGTCGGGACTCCGATGGAATTCGAACCCGTGACCTTACGGTAGCAAGTCTAACAGCCTAACCACTATACCACGGATGTACCTCTGAGTGTGTTTGCAGGTGTGTACCTGTGTGTGTGTGTGTGTGTGTGTGTGTGTGTGTGTGTGTGCC